AAACACCTCTATCTATCTTCTTCAATGCTATGTAAGTTGCTTTGGATAAGACACATAAATGTAAACGCAACCAGCAATTTCACGACTACAGAAACAGACGCTGTAGAAAACCAATCTGCACTTCTGGGATCATCATATAACCACCAAACACACACACAAACACACTCATAAACACACACTCATAAACATGGACTACATTCACATTACAGGCCTTCATGATGAAATCCCACAAAGCCTGTGAAGAGAAATGAAATAATCAAACGCACTTAAAGGGATAGTTCACACAAAAATCATAATTTACTCATCCTTAACTTACAATCAAGTTGTTTGACTTTGTGTATTCAAAAGAAGATGTTTTGAAAAATGTTGGGAATCCGTAACCATTGACTACCATAGTATTTGTTAATCCTACTATGATTGCTAATGGTTACAACCTTTAGTTGTAGTTTAAAACATTCTTCTAAATATCTTCTTTTGTGTTCAACTTATTTCAAATGACCATAAAAACTTCATCCGTGGTCTATTTTGTTGTAATTAATTTACAAAAAAAGACTGGAGTAAACACTAAGAGTGAAGACTGAACTTATTGTATTTTATTGTACATATAAAGTACAATAAAATACATTTCAAAAATATGCTCATACAGAAAACAGGTTGCTTATAGCAATATTTGACTTTTTCCTAAAGTATTTATTTTATATTCTTGAAAACAAAACCTAAGCACAGTATGTACAATAAAACTACCAATAAAACTTCCACCTGATGTGTTGTATTGAAATAAAACTGCAAAAACAGCCATTTAAAATTTTAAATCATCCCATTTCTTCATTACACTAAAGACTGGAGTAATGATGCTGACAATTCACATTCACAGCATCACAGAAATTAATTGGCAAGTTCCAAAATTCTTCAAAACATCTTAAATTGTGTTCTACTGAAAAAAAAAGAAACTCACAAAAAGGCATGGGACGATGACCATTTTCAGGGTATACCGCTGTTTGGAAAATCAAGGTTTTAAAACCGCCAACATTTTCTGTAAAACCGTTGCTAAGGTATGTGTAAGATTTTTAATTACATTTTTTGTTTTTGTCTTTTAGGACAACAGTATGCCCAGCAGAAAAGAAAATCCAAAGATGCAGTTTTAAATTGTAAAAAAATAAATAAATAAAATAGGTGTTTTTAGGTGTCTATGATTTATTTGAATTATATAGCCTTATGTGTTTACTGCTCCAAAAAATCTAATCTTTTTTTTTTTAATTTAATATATAGTTTTTAAAGGGGAAAAAGTTTTTTTTTTACCCAGACAATTAAAAGAATATATTTTAGAGCAGTAATCACAATACTATGACACCGTGATATTTTTTTTATCCAAGGTTATCATACCGTCAGAATCTTATACCGGCCTATGCCTTCTCCCAAACACTTGATGGTGAGTAAATAATGAATAAATGTGTATATTTGGGTGAACTATCCCTTTAAGAAATGCTGTTAATTAACTGTCACAATGCAAAGGAACATAACGAACAACTGTTTAAAAAAAATGAAACAGATACAAAAATACCACTTTCAGTTCGTCTACTTCAGAATATCACACATATATATAATTCAAGAAGCAACTTGCCGTTCGTTTGTAAAATAACTGTAATTTACAGTAAATTCTGGATTACATTTAAATATGATGAATGATTTACTTTATTTTGCTTGGTTCACGTTCATGTCTGAGTGTGAATAAGCGAAACTCAGTTCGAGCACCTCAGTTTTTGCAAACACATTTATCTGTGTTCAGTTTAGCTTATTTAAAAAGACATTAAGGGAAATGAAAACCTGATTGTTTCAAAATAAAAGCCAGGCCTCTTTTTTTTTGCATATATGAACGTACAGTTGAAGACAAAATTATTCTAATTATTATTAATTACTTCATTCATTTATTTTATTTTCGGCTTTGTCCCTTTATTAATCAGGGGTCGCCGCAGAGGAATGAACCGCCAACTTATCCGTCATATGTTTTACAGTGGATGCCCTTCCAGCTGCAACCCATCACTGGGAAACATCCATACACACTCATTCACACATACATTTATGACAATTTAGCCTACCCAATTCCGCTATACCACATGTCTTTGGACTGTAGGTGAAACCGGAGCAACCGGAGGAAACCCACGCAAACACGGGGAGAACATGCAAACTCCACACAGAAACGCCAACTGATCCAGCCGAGGCTCGAACCAGAGACCTTCTTGCTGTGAGGCAAATGTGCTACCACCGTGCAGCCCTATTATTAATTACATTTTTTAATTAATTTTTAAATATGTCTTAAGCAGATACTGAATTTTGGTTCGAATCGGTATTTTAATGTTAAAAACGTCCATTTCCGGCTAACATTTGAGCGCAGTTGAGTGTGTTCTTAACCACCGCTGATTTGCTATTGTGTTCACATGCTCAACAGAAATGACTGTGATTGGCCATGAAGGTCATCAGCAGTGTTGGGGGTAACGAATTACAAGTAATGCAAGTTACCTAATAGTATTACTTTTGTCTTTTGTAAGTAATGAGTAAAGTAACGCATTACTTTTCAAAAATAAGTAATAATATTTGAGTTACTTCTAAAAAAATATAAAGCAAGTAACTTTTTAGTTCTTTTAATTCGCTTTTAAAAAGTTGCTAAATTAAAATGAACGTGGTCACGTTGAATCACACACAATGAGGGAATGCAGGAACAGGGAGAAACCAAGATAGCAGAGCCTTACATTTCTGTGATTGAAGTGTTCTCATGATTTTGAACACACTGGAGAAAAAGGAAAAGAGGATTATCTGAATGGACAGTGAATAAAAATATAGCAAACAGAGTGCTTTAAACTTTCATTAATCCGTATATAAGGCAAGTAGAGCTCCGTGGTCAGGAAGTTCTCAAAACTTTATCCTACCTTAATTATTATTATTATTATTTTTTTTTTAAGGTAAATGTAGGTGTAGTTTATACAGTGTGTTGTTAATAGCAGAGCTCCTCTATTTTAATAAAGTAGGAAAAAACACCTTAAGTTCTGAAAGTAATCAAGCCTCAGCCAGGTCAGAAAAAGCAACGCAAAAATAACTCAAAAGTAATTTAATGCATTACTTATCATAAAAAGTAAAATAGTAACACAACTAGTACCTTTTTTGGGGAGTAACTCAATATTGTAATGCATTACTTTCTAAAGTAACTTACCCCAACACTGATCATCAGTTCACTGCTGTTCACTGAGTGCAAACACAGATACAGTGACACTGGAGCGTTTCAAAGCTGAGATGATCAGCTGGTGTGCCTGAGGTGAATCGACTGATCTTCTCGGCTTTTAAACGCTCCAGTGTCTCTGTAACTGTGGCTTCGTCTAAAATCGCGTCCTTCCATACTATATAGTACGCGAAAAACAGTATGCGAGTCGAGTAGCATGTCCAAATTCATAGAATTCGAAAAGCAGTGTGTGAGAAGTACCCCGACGATCTACTACTTGTGGCGAGATTCTGAAGTGCACATCCAATGCTACGCTATCTAATGATTAGGCCCACATGGAATCTGCGCACGTAGAATTCCGCAGATTTTTAGCCCATCATTAATTCTGTATATTTACTTGTGTAAATGTGTGTAAATTTATGTTTATTCCGTTTTTAAATTAATTTCAGTAATATTATTGACTGATATGAAAATATTTAGATTATTTTTTTACAATATAGTATGTAAAGTAAAAGTGTATGTCTTTTAGAAGATATATTATATGAGAGACTTGCTTTGTTTACCAAATAAAGTGGATCTATTTGGATTTGCATTGTAAACATTAAATATAAGTTACAAAGATATTACTTTTTCTTCATATATTAAGGTTTTAGTTATGATACTCCCAAAATAATTCAGCATAAATCTGCAGATTTCTTTTACCAAAATTCTGCGCAGAAATATCTGCAGATTCCGTCTGGCCCTACCTATGATGAATCGCAAGAGAATTCATGAATGGGAGTGAAGCGGACACGGGTAGGTCATGTGATCATAACAAAATGGCAAACGTAGTACATTCAAGTTCCATTCATACTTCTCACATTTATTCTGTATAGAACGCACTATTCTAATGGTCGAGTACTACGTTCAAATTAAAATGCAGTACCCACTGAGTAGTAGGCGATTTCGAACGCAACCCATGTTTACACTCGGTGAACAGCGGTGAACTGATGACCTTCACGGCCAATCACTGTCATTTCTGTTGAGCACGTGAACAATTGCGAATCAGCGGTTTTTAAGAACGTGCTCCACAGCGCTAAAATGTTGGCGAGACGTTTTTAAAACTTCAGTACCAATTGATACAGAAATTCAGAATCATGACACCCCACCGCAACCTCACGGCAATTCGTAACTTTTTATTCGTATGAATTCGAACGATCTAATTCGTACAATTTAGTACGATTTGCTCATCACCCAATGACGGTTGGGGTTGGGTGCCACGCCTCCTTTTTAAAATAATTTTCGTATGACTGAACTCGTACGAATTAGCCACTAAACTGACAAAACGTAAAATACTTACGCTTCTTCGTCAGATTAGGCTGGACAACCCTATTTCCAAGTGATGTTTGTCAGAGCAAGAACGCTTTTCAAATTATTGACCTTAATTTTTTTCTTCTGGAGAACATCATGTTTTTCTTTTTTTTTTGTTTGAATGAAATCAAAATAATTTAAAGAGCTAATTAAGGTCAATATTACTAGCCCCTTTAAGATTTCTTCGTTTTGGAGTGTCTACAGAACAAACCACTGTTATGCTATGACTAGCCTAATTAAGCTAGTTAAGCCTTTAAATGTAGCTTTAAGCTGAATACTAGTATCTTGAAAAATATCAAATATTATGTGCTGTCATCATGGTAGAGATAAAATTAATCAGTTATTAGAAAAGAGTTATTAAAACTATTATGTTTAGAAATGTGTTGAATAAAGTCTCTCTGTTAAACAGCACATAAAAGAATAAAAATTTGACAGGAAGGCTGATAATTTTGTCTTTAACCATATACATCATTAACAGGAACAACTAACTTCACCATACATTCACATTTACACTGATTCCACATAAACGAGGCCCTGGATTTTCATAGTGAATGCAGTTACTTATAAGAGCCCTTTAACATACAATCCAACTCTTTTTAGCTCTTTTTTACTCTGCACATTAAACACAGTATGGTAACAACGTACATACACACATCTTGTGAAAAGATAATCAGGAGTATCAGTACTTTTTTTTCAGTAAGTGAAAAGTACATCTACTACTGCACACATTTAATGAACACGAACACTTTTCTCAACCTAATCAGTATTAAATGATAGTTTTGCATGAACAGAAGGCAATCATGTGGGCTGACCTGATCTGTAGATACAGCTAGAAATGCATCACTTACTGAGGACACCTCAATAAATCCTGTTTACCATAGATATCCAGTCATTTCAGAGGGAAAAATCTATTATATATAATACAAAATTAAACTGGGTTGTTTTTAGAGAGACAAACACTAAAAATGTGTTGATTTTTGCACTTAATAGCATAATAAATAATATTTTTCCAGGCACATTTTTCCGGCAACAATTTTAAAATTTTAGCATTAGTTTAGTAATAAAAAATCTGACTGAAATAAACAAAAATATAATTAATATAATTAAATTTTAGTGAATGAAGGAAGATGTAAATTTTGTGTTATTTAAGTGCTATTATAGTGAATACGATGAAAAATGATTAGCATTTTAGTAAAATTAGCATTTTAATCTTACAAAGTGTCACTGAAGCAACAATTAAGTTTGATTATTTCTGATTATTATTTTTAAGTAATTTTCTTTTAGATTTGCATCAATAACTGATAACAATTTGTATGTTTTATTTATAGTAAACCATGGACCCTTTTCACATTTACGGGTTTCTCAGAAAAAGAAGTCGAAATAAACTTAAAGTCCTGTGAACGGGAGAGTACAACAAATCTTTTTTTTTTGTATTCCTATTTGCTCGAATAATAAAAAAAAAAACCTCTGCGAGGGTGAAAGACGCTGCATTAGAAACTTTTGTCCTTTGGTGCAAAGATGATTTAATAAAAAATATAGCTTTATAAACGTACACTAATTAAAAAATAAATTAATTAAAAATTAAAAATCAAGATATTAAAACTTGATCAGGGTGAGGCCAAGCTGGAACGCTCACTCTGATCCCCCTGGCTCTGAAATGGTTGGGGAAATTCCAAACTGAACCAAAACAAACTATTACAATTGGCTTAAAGCTGGTTTATACTTCTGCGTCGAGTGATCGGCGTGACCCAAGGCACCTGCCTTGCGAGTAGCCGTGTATTTATACTTCTGCGAGCTGCTTGTGTTGCTCTGCAATAACACTTCCAAAACACTAGCTACTTTTGAGTTCCTCTGTGTCGAGTTTCTTTGCAGGCGTTTCGTTTTTTCTAAACATTACCTTAATGTACAAGTAGCTAAAACTCGCTCATTCAGAGGCAGGAACTGGCGGACGTGCAACAACTTTAGTTATAAGGTAAACACAAAACGAAAGTTTCCGTCTGGAGCTCCTTTACAGGACTCGACACTTGTTCTCGCTCCATCGGGCTCACAGCTCTCGGCACCGCCCACACTCATCAGCACTACCAAGTTGACCAATCACAGTGATTGTGGTATGCATTGTTGCGCCGTGTAGTTACATTGTTTGAGGGGTGCGTGTCAGCGTCAGCCACGGCAAGGGCGATGGAACCGCGTGCGCTTGACGCAGAAGTATAAAACAGACTTTAAGATTGGCAATGAAAATTCGGGAAATGCGTACACCAGCAGAACCTGGGAATATAAATAAGAAGATATTAAAAACCTTCAAGATGCTGATGACCGTCAAACACATTATAACCATCTTGTGAAAAGGGTCCATAGCAAAACAGAAAACAATAACAAAAATAAGTTGAGAATTTTTCTGGAACATTCAGAAATAAGTCCACATCCGTCTTTTCTATAAAATCCTTGCATTTATTATCAACCTTTTTGTTTTAAATGTATGCCAATCATCTTCCCCTTTAATTAAAGTACAAAAGAACACACTTAAAGAGGAAATGAAGCACTCAGTCAAGTTTACATTTATTTTATAACCTGGATTCTGCTTTAATGAAAGTACATTAAACAAACTCAACTAACATAACTATTTTGAAGAAAAGGATGTGTTTTACTATAGATTTTAGAGCTATCTTGCAATATTGCTTTGTTGACGTCAGAGGTTTGGTTCCATTCCCTCAACTGAACAGATACAGTGAAAGTAATGGACTGAACAACCTAATTTAACACAATGCGTGAAGTTGTGGGAGTGGAGCTGGTGCAAATACAAGCATCAAAGTTGTGTCTAGTATATAAAAATATACATTTATTCTATTTTTCTTTTAATTATCAATTGTTTGATGCACTTTGGTCCTCTCTCTGTACTGCGCTGCCTGACTGGCTGGCTGTGTGGGCTTCAACAAGGTTTGGTGCCCGGCGTAATAAGAGCAGGTACTTTCTTTTTCACTACTACAGCCCCCACCTCTATTCGTGTTCAAACCAAATTAAGATCAGCGCAGTTTTTCATATTACAGGTTTTTATTTCTTTTATACAGAAGGTTGAGAGATTGACTTGATAAGAAAATATGTCTTGATATGTTCCACACAGTCGTGATTTTAATCGTCGTGTTTTAATAGTTGCATTAACCTGAATGTAAATCCTCTTGTCTGGCAGCGCTGGACCAGCATGAGAGAGTGGACCAAAGTGCATCAAACAAACGGTATTTAAAAAGAAAAATAGAAAACTTATTAATATTTGTTATATATTAAACACAAATTTGATGCTTGTATTTGCACAAGCTCTGCAATGAACGTCCATGAACTGACGCATTGTTAAATTAGGATGTCCAGTCTCTGTGTTAAGCCACTTTCACTGTATCTGTTCACCTGAGGGAACGGAACAAAGCCTGTGACGTCAGACACAGCGATATTCCAAGATGGTGGTGCCCTTTCGCTAAAAACTATAGTACAACATGTCCTTTTCTTCAAAATGGTTACATTAATTGAGTTTGTTTAATTTATTTTCATTAAAGTGTAAAGCAATTTATAAAATAATGTAAACTTGACTGAGTGCTTCACTTCCACTTTAATTTCCCCCACAGAAATGAATGGGTAACTACGGCACCCTTGTTTTTTTTTTTCCTCATACCTCCTACCTAACTGCATTGGTGTAGTTTCACGAGTGCAGCACCATCTGCTGTCCGTCTTTTTGCAGCTGCAGCCTCTCTTTCTCCACCTGCAGGCGCTCCTTCTCAATCTGCAGCCGGCCCGACTCAAACTTAAAGAACTGCAGTCTCTCCTTTTCCAGCAGGAGGCGCTCTTTCTCCAACTTCAGCTTCTCCGCCTCTAAATCCACCACCATTGGCCAAACTAGCTTCCTGTCCTTCTCTCCATCCAATGAGGACGACGAGGGGGCGGAGGATGAAGTGGTGGGCGTGGCTATAGATGTCGAGGGGGCAGGGCTCTGTTGGAGAGGCGTGTTTTGATGTAAAACAAGTCTCAGACGCTCTCGCTCCACCTGTAGACGCTCTTTCTCTAACTGCAGCCGCTCCCGCTCCACCTCGCCCTGCCGCAGTCTCTCCTTCTCCACCAGGAGGCGCTCTTTCTCCACCTGCAGCCGTTCTGACTCCACCTGTAGTCGGTGTTTCTCTAGGTCCAATCGCTGCCTTTCTAGCGCCACCAGCAGGCTTGTGGTCTCTCCTCCAGCGATGCCCAATCCAGCTACACCCATGCCGGTTACTCCACCCATTCCGAGTCCCAGGTCTCGGCCTGCAGTCTGGCCTGATGTGGGTTTGGTGGAGCTCAGGACACCGAATTCATCAATATGAGCAAAGACCTCAGGAACTCGGCCCTCGCGGTCCATATCAGGGAGGATGGAGGGAAAACAGTCCTCCTCATCGTCGTCACCCTCCACACCTTCTCCAACGTCAGCCTCCAACTGCAGAGATTTGCATTTAGACACACAAGAAGAGCAGGAATCATGAAGGGGATTTTAGTAAAAACTAGTTTAAAGGTAAAATTTTGACCCTTGTGTATTGTCAGAGACTATAGAATAGAGGTCTGCATTCCCGCGGCTGTCCCGCGGGCGCCGCGGGACCCGACCAGATTACTGCGGCGCGGGAATAAATTTCCGAATAAATCGCGGGAGCGGTCGGTAACGGGTTTAATTTGGGATGGGAGCGGGCTGTCTAGCAATATCGCGGATATTGCTATGCGAATGAGAGAGAGAAAGAGAGAGAGCTTTGCCTGTGTGTGTGTATGATAGGGCGTGCGCGCGCAAATGAGAGAGAGAGAGAGAGAGCTTTCCAAGATAGCAAAATACACTCGGGCCAGTTCCGGCTAGATTCTTGCCTGCCGGAGACTTACCACTCGGCCCGGCTCCGGCTGCCGGACTCGCTGCCCGATTCCGGCCGAATCAATCGGGCCAGATGCGGCGGCTGTGAGCGAGCCGACGCTGCAGCATCCGCGCTGGAATCGGCCCGAGAGTAATGTGCGCTGCGGTCTGGAGCTGGCGCGACTCAGTATTTATATACCTTTATATAAAACCTTTTGGTATTACATTGGTACTTGATACATGGTATTACAACCCTTTGAGTTGATATAACAGCAAACGCCTGTGTGTCTGCTTGGTGCTTGTGTGTGTGTTAGTGTGCGCGCGCGTATGAGAGAGAGAGAGAGCTTTGTCTGTGTGTGTGCTTGGTGCTTTGTGTGTGTGTTTATACAGACAGCTTGGCTGTCTGGACTGTATAGCTGGGTGATTTTCGGTTTTGTTCTCCCCCGCTCTTTAGCGGGATTGGTCGCGGCGGGCAGAAAACGGGGCGGGTCGGGCAGCGGGACAACAAATTCTTAATATAAGCGGGAGCGGTCGGGTTCGGGCTAAAACCTGGCGGGTACGGGCGGGAGCGGGATTCAAAATTTAGTCCCGCGCAGATCTCTACTATAGAATACACAAGATATGTCACTCGTATAGCTCTGAATAGGGAAAAGTGTAACGGTCAATATGGATAATGAAGCCCCGCCTACCAGTACAGAAGCCAATCATCAATCGCTATAGAACAGGGGTGTCCAAACTCGGTCCTGGAGAGTTTAATTCCAACCCTAATCAAACACACCTGAACCAGCTAATCAAGCTCTTTCCCGCCTTGAAATACTGACAGCCCCGCCCTTAAGGACTGACATCCATGCCATAAATCAGGGGCATCTCAATCTCAGTCCTGGAGTTCCATTGTCCAGCAGATTTTAGCTCCAACCTCAATCAGACACACCTGGGCTAGCTGATCAAGCTCTTACTAGGCTTTCTAGAAACATCCTTGCTGGTGTGTTGAGACAAATTGGAGCTAAAATCTACACTAAACCTCCAGGACCGAGTTTGAGAACCCCTGTCCTAAATCAATGACAACCACGCCCAAAATGACTGATAGCCCCGCCCTAAAAGGCTGACAGCTCCGCCCTAAAGGCATTCCATGTGACCAGATGTGAAGAAAAGTAATTTCGATGGACAGAGAATGTTATGATACTTAATTAAAGATTCAAATAAATCTTTAGAAAATAAGGATACAGCATTTAAAACACACACTACTGTATATATATCAAAATACAGAGTAAATTTAGATTTCATTCCAACTTTAAATGCATCATCTGCACCCAGAACGTACCCTGTAGCTGCTGGCCTCGTCGTCCTCCATCTTGACTCCAGGAGTGTGTGTGCTGGGCTCTCCTAGATCTGTCAGGTCCTGCCAGTCGCACGAGGAGTCTTTCGGAAAGCCACTGAGGTCAAGCGACTGGTCACCGCCGCCCAGAGAAGCGTCATTATCAGGAGACGACGGCTCAAACTCCTGCTTTAATCCTGATGCCAGTTCAGCCTGCAGCTGCTTCCTCTTCATGAGCGCTCGCCAGTCCAGGTATCGCCTCTTGACCTCGGCTGCCGTGCGCAGCTCTCCTTCGCCCAGCGCGTTCACACTGTCCGCCACCTCCTCCCACGCGCGCCGCTTCAGCTCGTTGATGGCCATGTTCTGCTGGCGAGAGAACAGAATCTCGCGCCGCTTGTGGATCTCGCGGATCAGAGTTTGAGTTTCCTTCACGCTGTAGTTGCTCTTCCTTTTCCTCTTCAGGTGCTTCATCTGCAGGAAGTCCATGCTGGAGACGGTCAACCGCTGACAAACGCTGAACGGCTTCTGTCACTCCAGACTAATCCTCAAGCTCATGCTGACAGACGTTTAGAGCTGAAATGCTGATCTCCTGCAACAAACACACACACACACACACACACACACACAGAATACAATATTGAAATTATTAGCCCACCTGAATTATTAGCCTTAACGAAGAGAACAGAACACATTTTTAATGTGTTTTTTTTCAACACATTTCTAAACATAATAGTTTTAATAACGCATTTCTAATAACTGATTTATTTTATCTTTGCCATGATGACAGTAAATAATATTTGACTAGATATTCTTCAAGACACTTCTATACAGCTTAAAGTGACATTTAAAGGCTTAACTAGGTTAATTAGGCAGGTTAAGATAATTAGGCAAGTCATGGTATAAGAGTGGTTTGTTCTGTAGACAATCCAAAACAAATATTGCTCAAGGGGGCTAATAATATTGACCTTCAAATGTTTTTTATTTTATTTTATTAAAACAGCTTGAATTCTAGCCAAAATAAAACAAGTAAGACTTTCTCCAGAAGAAAAAATATCAGAAATACTGTGAAAAATTCCTTGGCCTGTTAAACATCATTCATTTGTAAGAGGCTAAGTTATCATATGCATTTGTTTATATGGAAAAAAAACAAGTCTTTTTGACTCAAGAAGGTCCATACTGAGGGTGCTTTCACACCTGTGAATGGATTCAGTTGTTCCGAAACAGAGATTACAATTGTTACATTGCTGCTCTTTACTCTTGGAGCGGTTCGCTTTCACACTGCAAAGTTTCTAATCGGACCAAAAGAGCTAAAACAAGTCACCTGCGAGTAAACTCTCCTCACATTGGTCAGAGTGTCAGGGTTTATTTTGCAGCGTCCCGCTCAGCTGTCAGGAGAGGTGGTGGTTTGATGGTGATTGACAGGGTGCGCGCGCGACGTGTCTGAGGAGAGATGCGGTGGGGAGGGGTGAGAAGGGTGCGCGACGTAGCCTATTTGAGGACCGGGAGGGAGACGCGAGATTACCGGGAGATCATCACTCGTTTGCGGGCATCCGGAGACTCGCGAAACTTCCCGCCCTACTCATAATTCTCTCTTCATATAGCCGTATGCCTATTACATATCCATAAAACACTGTGATATAACCGCGCTCGGATCGGATCGCTTTCTCACTGCAATCGAACCGTTCCAGGGTTCGTTTCAATCGAGCCGAGACCACCTCATTCAAGCGATCTCGGATCGATTACTTTGGCGTGGAATAGAGCGCGATTGCCCTGTTCACATATGCCAAACGAACCGCGCTAACTGGGCAATCGAGACACGTTCCGAAACAAAAGTGTAGGTGTGAAAGCACCCTAACTCTAAAGGATACTGATAAGATCAGGGCCTGATATGTGGACGATACAATGGGCCTGATATGTGGATGATGTGGTCATATGTTGATTGGTCAGTTTGAATGTCTCAGCATTTGGGCTGTAGTCACATGGTCAAGAAAGATACAAAATAGGTTTAAAACTCTGCTCTTTCTCTTTTCCTGGCCTGTCTTTTCCTGCTCTGCTCCTCTCCTCCTCTGGAGTCTTCTCTGACTCTACTGCAATCAGGCTAACTTCTGGGCCTGCTCTCTTTGTCCCCCCCCCCAAATTACATTTAAGCTGGGTACAATGAATATCATATGTTTTATCATTTCATATTTTATCATTTTATACACTCATTTTGTAATTAATTCAGTTGTAACCATACCGAATTACTGTCATTAATACTTTTCATTTTTAAGTATTTGTGAATTACTTTTGATTAAGCATCAACATTAAATTGTTCCATATTGCAATACAATACAATCACATAATATCAATGCTCTCCCACATTTATAGCTATTAATACTGCCCTTATTTCCATTTTTGGTATGAGATTGCAGAAGAATGGTTTGACTAGAAATGTACAGTTTTTTGCCATCATGCTGATGCTTTTTAGTCACTCGGCAGAACTATAGTTCGAACCGCTGTGGTTAAAACCCATTCTTACATATTCATTCATTTTTTTTTCAGCTTAGTCCCTTTATTAAGGGGCCGCCACAGCAGAATGAACCACCAACTATTCCAGCATATGTTTTACACAGCAGATGCCCTTCTATTTGCAACCCAATACTGGGAAACACCCATTCACTCATACTCATACAATACGGCCAATTGAGTCCATCAAATTCCCCTATAGCACATGTGTTTGGACTGTGGGGGAAACCGGAGCACCCGGAGGAAACCCACGCGAACACGAGGAGAACATGCAAACTGGTCGCTCAAACCAGTGACCTTCTTGCTGTGAGGCGATTGTGCTACCCACTGCACCACTGTGATACCTCTGTTAAACATCAATTTGGAAACATTTGAAAAGTGAAAAAAAATTCCCTACAGCACCTGCACGTGTCTTCATATGTCATCGCGATCTCTTGCTTCATATGAGATCAGAAGATCATAACTGCTGTAGTTATTCCAGTTTTGTTATTTTTTTGTATTTATCTTCAGGACATCACTGAAGGCAACAATATCATGTTATCATAACGATATAATGTGGCAATAAGATCATAACTGTACTGTGTATTTACACTGTGACCCTTTTCATCCATGTAAACACACGAAAACAACATAAACATTATAGCAGACACTGTATACAGCTAGTTTCCAGTTACTAGACTTTTCTGACAGGGGATTCGAGAGTCATCGAGTGACAGAATGTTGTGGGACTGCTGCACAGGATTTATTAAGGATTATAGATAGCAAAATTTTGCCGTTTTGTGTATAGATGGTGTATTCTGGACAATTTTCAAACCTGTCGGTTTCGAGTGTGGTACTAACAAATCTCTGTTTCAAGGGGTATCTAGCTCTTCCCCTTAGCCCTACGCCTTCAAGCTAAAGAGGATTGGGAAGAGCTAAGGGGTAGAATTGATATTGGGCCTTAATATTGGGATGCTTTTTTTATTAAATTAAATTTTTTTATTAAATTTTATACTTGTCTCTTTCATTCCTGTTTATGTAAAGTACTTTGAATTATCACTGTGTGTGAAATGTGCTATATAAATAAACTTGCCTCGCCTAATATTTGTGAAAAATAAAAAATACTGTCATGATTCTCTGGTGAATAGAAAAGCTAAAAAAATTAACATTTATTGCTACAATTTCATTGAATACACATATTTTTTTAACCGCATTGAATATCCTGTGCAGAGCTCGAAATTGCGACAATTTCATATGCGCCCGAAATTTAAGCTATGCGACCTAATAATATATATTTATTTATATATATTTATTTATATAATAATATATATATATTTATTCGTGCGACTGCATATAATGGTTGTAGTGCGACCTGTTTTTTTTTTTTTTTTCTAAAAACGTGGTAAAATCGGTCTTTCCTGCGGCTATATTGGTTCATATGAGCTGTCAATCACTCAAGACTTTCCGCTGTCAGACGACAGGGTGGGAGCTTTTGTGACCGCGGGGAATGCAAACGGCTGAAGAGTGAAAAGTACACTGAATCTCGATGCGTTGCATGCACTGCGGGTTCAGGCAACACAATCTCACGGCAATTCGTAACTTTTTCATACGTTTCCTCGTGAGATCAGGCTGCAACAGCGTAAATGTCCGCTAAAACACCATCGCCAAAGAAGCTCGCCTTTACTGAGTTTACACTGATGCAGGTTATAATAAAGAACAGTATTGCGCCGGTGGTCATCGGGAGAATCCTGCTCTGCCCCCCTCATATTGGGCCGGCCGACTCGCATGCTTTTCCACAAACACAGACAAATGTAATTCAGCGCGTAACGAGGCTGAGCATTAAAACGACACGAACCGAAACCAAAACTTTTAAAAGTGAGACTTTTCTTCCTTTCTTTTGTCCGTTCTTTCTTGAGGTGTACATTATTTTCCTATTTAATTACTGATGACTGCTTTGCAGCTTTCAGCATTGAATTGAATGATTTATTATAATATTTTGTTTGTTTTGTAGCAGAAATATTATTTATTAAATTGGCATGCATATAAAAACAATAGTACAAAATAAATATTTCTTACTACAATGCTTCATTTGTGTTTGATACAAACCATCAATTTATTTTTCATAAAGTAACAGTAGGACTTTATATAGCAGATAACTTAAATTAAAGCACATTCAAGGCAGCATGATGATGAGAAATATAATTCATTATTAGTATTATTGTCATCATCATCATCATCGTCATTATTATTATTTTATAATTATTCAACATTCATGTTGGAATTATTGCACAAATATTAAGTCATCACAGCATTAGTTAGATAGTTGTTTCTGGGTTTTGTTAGTCCCAATTGATGTTGTTTTCAAATACAATAAATCCCTTAATATACAACTTGTCAAATATATCATTCATTTTTGGTGGGTGAGCTTAAATTTTTCTGGTGCTCCTAAATTTTTTCTGGTGCTTCTAAATATTTCAGGTTGGGAGCACCGGTGCTACCAAATAAGAAAGTTAATTTCGAGCCCTGCTGTGTAAACCCATTTTAGGTTTTTGATAAAAACTATAGGCTTAAATTATGTGTGATTTATTTTTTAAAGAAATAACACCCATAATTGTTAGCAAATTACACAAAATATATATATATATATATATATATATATATATATATATATATATATATATATATATATATATATATATATATATGTATGTATTAAACATTAAAGTAGAAAGCATTGCTTATTCTTGCTGTGTTTGTTTTATTTACAAGTGAAAAAAAAATACAAAACATTTTTATGTAGCAACTTTCGAAATACACACTTGCTATAGACCAGGGGTGCCCAAACTTTTTCTTAGAAAGGGCCAAAAACCCAACTTGATTTAGGGCTGTGGGCCAAACTGCACTGTAAAAAATGTAGGGTTCCACACATCTCATTCAGGTTGGCCCAACACAAATCGATTAATTTAACACATTTAATTGAATAAAACATAAAACAATTAAGTCGTCCAAAAAAAAAATCTCAAGAATTGTGTTGTATGAGCAAAAATAGGTTGAATAAGCAGCAAATTACATTGAAGTTGCCATGGGTAATTTTAAAATATATTTTATATTATTAATGAATTAATAGATTTAATCATATTAAATGATGCAATGGAATTTTTTATTCAACTCATTAAAATAAAAAACAACTCCTTTTTTAACACAATAGATATCAATGCTGAATACACTAATAAAGCTGCACCTGACTCTGCCGTCTTCTCCGTTGTCTTCTATTTGTCAGTGACAGTGTATTTTTTAAAATCTGATTCATTTACGTTTAATTTAAACATTATTTTCAGTTTGCTTTTTGTAGCTCAACAATAATACAAACTACCACCACAATAAAAAAAAAAAATCTTTTTAGATTGGATGGAAGGCCAAACTAAAGGTTACCAATAGCCAACTTTAGCCCGCGGGCCCTAGTTTTGATAGAGGTAAAGTTGGTTCCATATTCACAAATTCATTCATTTAGAAGTCTCTGTATTGTTTACCATATTACTTTGAATATTCGATTGGAATTAGCATGCAAGTGTGACTTGAAGACAACAATAACACTGTTTATTTGACAGTGAACTATGTTGTACTTTGATAGTCATTGGCTGCTAATTTGATTTCGCTATTTAGAGTTTGCAAATAATACTTTTATGAAATTACATTATTAAGGGGAAAGTCAGATTGTGCGAATATAAAACCAACTTTACCTCTATCTTATTTTGGCATCTCTGCTGTAGACCATTTCAGTGTGGTAGTGTCATTGGCCCTTGAACATTTCCTTCTTGTTATCACAATATTTTATAACTGTAACAAGAGGCAATTCAATCATATCTTCACGTTAATGCAGCTATCATAACATTATTAATCTATATGTAGACCTTTTGAACTCTCTGAAGCTATGGGTATAAAAAATGTAACAGGAAATACATTAGGACCGTTGTATTGTTTACATTCCTCAAAATGGTCAATATTGAAACCGTGGTCTCACTGCCATAATAATATATATTTTTTAAACCCCAGATGGATTTGGAAAGATTCTAATAATGTTTTAAGACAATGTATTATGATTTAACAAGCAACATTACTAATTTAACAAAAGCACCTTGGAAATATATTTTTTGCTCGTTTCATTGTAAATTAATGGTATTTTTGAAGCAAGAAGGAATGTAATCATGTAAATATTGTGATAAATGAAGATTATAAATATGCAGTTACGTTATAATACACAATATTAGTTTTTATAAAGGAAGTAATTGTACTAGTAACAGCGATTTTGGTCAAAGCTATAATAGCAGGTATATTTTGTCAAGTACATCAACATTTAGCACAAATATTAGGATTATATCGTTAAAATAAATCTTGATAGCATCACACCAGACATAAACACAACAGCACGGCTATTATTTTTGGCAGTTCGTTTATAAACATGTCGACAGAAACGGCTTCCGCAGGCACCGTGTTACACATACACCCTTCTTAACATGGCGTGAAATAAATACCAAAATGAATAACAGCAAATAGAGACACGGATATTCGATTTATTTACTCGAAACACTCACCGGTGGAGAAAAGCATCATCCACTCATCCACACGCGTCCCGCCCCGCCTCCACGGCGCCGCCGAACTCTGCCGAACACTTCCGACAACGCACGAATCCCCAGCGCGATTGGTCAACGAGCGTCCCCGCCCCCTCCGTCAGCCAATCAGGTGCGACGCTTAACACTCAGCCCCGTCCACAACATATTCTTCCGGGCTCCTCTGTATGTGTGTGTGGTTAAAAGAAAAACACATGTGCAGCTGCTGGCGTAACCAGAGAAGCAAAACACATTATAAATACTGCATGAGACATAATGTTAATAATTAATAATAACGACTACTTAATATCATAATGGCATATTATAATGTATTAACAACTATTAGTCGCAGTGTTTTAAGAGTTTAGAAATAGTTGTCATTGGGAGTTGTGTGTTTTTTGGGGGATGGACGGGGTCCGGTGGGCGTTCCGCTGCGGTTCGTGGGTCCCGAGCCGTTCCGACTGGACCCTCGCGGCTCGGTGTGTCCAGCAGGAGGAAAAACAGCGAATCGGACAATTCGTGTTCGCTAAAGATGCCAAATCCGCCATGGTGAGTACAGCAGACACTGATGCTCCAGTTAATACCACATATGGCATTATGACGATTAAAACTTAGTGTTTTGAACTATTCTATAGCAAAGTATCCTGTAGCATTCATTAATAAAGTGCACAAAAAAGTATGTAAAGTTGGTTTTATTTTCATACATTCAGACTTTCTCCTTGATTTTATAAAAGTATTCTTTGCAGATTCTGAATGGGGAAATAACATTAGCAGCCAATGACTATCAAAGTATAACATTGTTCACAGTAAATTAGGTGCTAATGTTCTTTTGAAGTCATCCTTATCTACATGTAATTTCAGACCAAATATTCAAAGTAACATTGTAAACTATATAGTAAAATTTAAACCAACTTGATAGATAGATAGACAAACAGAAAGACAGAATGATAGAAAGATATAATGATATATATATACATATATATATATATATATATATATATATATATATATATATATATATATAGATAGATAGATAGATAGATAGATAGATAGATAGATAGATAGATAGATAGATAGAATGAAAGGAATGAAAGATATATAGACAGACAGACAGATAGATAGATAGATAGATAGATAGATAGATAGATAGATAGATAGATAGATAGATAGATAGATAGATAGATAGATAGATAGATAGATAGATAGAATGAATGAAAGATAGACAGACAGACAGACAGACAGACAGACAGACAGACAGACAGATAGATAGATAGATAGATAGATAGATAGATAGATTAAAACAGTTGACAGACAGACAGACAGACAGACAGACAGACAGACAGATAGATAGATAGATAGATAGATAGATAGATAGATAGATAGATAGATAGATAGATAGATAGATAGATAGATAGATAGATAGATAGAATGAAAGGAATGAAAGATATATAGACAGACAGACAGACAGACAGACAGACAGACAGACAGACAGACAGACAGATAGATAGATAGATAGATAGATAGATAGATAGATAGATAGATAGATAGATAGATAGAATGAAAGATAGATAGACAGACAGACAGACAGACAGACAGACAGACAGATAGATAGATAGATAGATAGATAGATAGATAGATAGATAGATAGATAGATAGATAGATAGATAGATAGATAGATAGATAGAATGAAAGATAGATAGACAGACAGACAGACAGACAGACAGACAGACAGACAGATAGATAGATAGATAGATAGATAGATAGATAGATAGATAGATAGATAGATAGATAGATAGATAGATAGATAGATAGAATGAAAGGAATGAAAGATATACAGACAGACAGACAGACAGACAGACAGACAGACAGACAGACAGACAGACAGACAGACAGACAGACAGACAGACAGACAGACAGACAGATAGATAGATAGATAGATAGGCAGGCAGGCAGGCAGGCAGGCAGATAGATAACAGATTTTTAAAAATAAAAATTCCTCAGAGTTAACTTTTTTTTTACTGCAGGCGTACAGAACACGACGGCAAAAACACAAAATGCAGCAGCCGTTCAAAACCATTAAAAAAAGACGCCTCTCAACACAAAAAGTTAACTTGGTGTGATCAAGGCCTTAATACGCAATGTAACTACAGAAGAGTCAAACTGTAAATAGGCTCTTTTTTTTAGCAAGATGCTAACGATCTATTCTGATTTAATGATTTGAAGCTAAGCTAAATGTGCTCCCACTAGAACTGGAGATCAGCTGAATGGATTCAGAAATATCAACTCTAGGGGAGTGAAAATGAGACTAATTCCAAAAAAGTGGAGTGTTCATTTAAACGTCAGGTGAAGTGGTTTGTAATGTGCATTATTTTATTCGATGTTTGACGTAATCTCAACTGAAAGAAGAAGAGAGGGTGGGACATTGCGTAGCTCCTCCCCTAAAAAAAAACAGCCAATAGTGTGTTGTTTTATCACCGCTCTGCCAGTAAGAGTGGTTCAGCTCAAGCGCATCAAATGAAAAGGCAATGAGAAGAAGAAGGTGGGGCATGTCAGACACTATAGAGCATTTGATTGGTCAGAAGATTTAATGAGAATCAAAAGTACGAGATGACGTGAATAAAACCTTTTATCCATTTAGGCGGAAGAGACAAACTACAAACTTTACATGTTTATATTATCTAAACGCAAGTATTGTCACTGTTTTGATGCGCACTAGCTAAAAGATATCCTACAAACTAACAATGCTGATGCTAACATCTAAAAACTTTATTTTAATTTCACTGGTCCTTTAAGTTGTTTTGTGTGTTTCTTTAAATCAGGCTGGACGTCTGCTCATCAGAAAGCTGGTTTGTGAGAAGATGGGTTTTGCATGGGACGGGTTTCGACTGGAACGAACAGAACGGGGCAAACCGTACCTGCCACAGACCTCATCCGCACCCAGCTGGAGCTTCAACGTGTCCCATCAGGGAGATTACGCCGTTCTGGCAGCAGAAGCAGGTCGTCAGGTGGGCATAGACGTGATGAAGACCAGCAGACCAGGTGACTTTCACTACCTCTCAGGCCCCGTTTACATTAATGCGTTTTAGTTTGAAAACGCAGAAGTTTTGCTACAGTTACGCCATCTGTCTACACTACACCGCAGTTTTCGAGCGCCGAAAACGGAGCATTTTGGAAATTCTGGAGAGGCCGTTTTCATTCTAAAATGCTGCTCCATCTCAGTGTGGACGGGGGAAAACGGAGACATCTGAAAACGAAGGCGGGGCTGCAGACATTCGTCTCTCTGATTGGGGCTTTTTCCTCAATATTAAGTAGCCTACACACAGTTCAGTCTCGCATCCTCTCCGTGTTAGTTCAGACTTCGCAAGTTTAATATGGAAAACAAATCCCAAGTGTCAGTTATAAAGTCATTCACATCACCCTGGCTATGCTGTTTCATAGGGCTCTATTTTGACGGTCTATGCGCAGAGCGCAAAACACAGGGCGCAAATGCTTTCAGGGCGTGTCAGAACGCATTTTTGCTAATTTAAGGACGGGAAAATCTGCTTTGGGTCACGGCGCGGGCTAAAAGGGTTGAGTTTATTTTCTTAATGAGTTATAGGTGTGTTCTGAGAATAAACCAATTAGAGTCTCATCTCCCATTCCCTTCAAGAGCCAGCTGCGTCACGCCAAGAGCGCATTCGCTATTTACAGGACACAAAGTAAGTCTAAGTGGAAAAAATGAGCATTTCACAAGCAAACAGTTAACAGAAAACAGTTAAACAGAGCATCTACTGCGTGAGAATGAGAGATAATGGATCTACTTTCACATTCGCTCTTGGATAGGGAAACCTTTACGCACAGACATCAATTAGTCTATAAATAATTAATTTCGTTTGTTAAGCGCAAATATTCGTTTCAAAACTATTTCTAAATTCTGTTCTAATTTCCAGCAAACAAATTAATGAACAATAATAACAAAGTGTGGTCAAAAACCTGAGTTATATCCTAAAACACATGCTGTGCCCCTTATGGTCTAAAACCTGACAGGTGGGCAAATCTAAGCTTGTTTTTAATAAAACAAATATAAATATGGATATAATAAATAATACTGCTAATAATAATAACATTATACAAAAGCAAATTGTTATGAATGAACTGAAAAAGCCTCCCGAGATGAAGAAGACATAAAAGCAGTGATTTTTCATATTTATGTAGGCTAGAAAATAATATGTTTTGTAATATTTTAATCCTTTATATTTATATTCTATATCTATTCTTATTATATCCTATATATATATCCTTAATATTTAAACTTTTTCATATGTAAATATATTTCCCTATGGCTCTCTTGTGTGTATTAAGCAGTGTGTAAGCGAGGCGCAACTCTGCGCCGAAGTTTAGACCGGGTTTGTTTTGGTCTAATGAAAAATCTATTTTAGTTTGTCAAAATAGCAACGCGCCAGCAGTCCGCCTCAGAACGCCTTCCTTTTTAGACTAGAACGCCTATGGGCGCACAAATGAGCGCTAATGCATTTGCTATTTAAACAGCGTAGCGCAACGCCTCAAAACCACTCTTGCGCCAAGCTAAAACTACCAAAAGACAATTGCGCCGCACCTTGAGCCACACTGCGCCAGGTGTATGATAGGGCCCATAGTCTTAACAATAAACTGAAAACATGATATCAGGAACTGCTATTTTCACTTTGATATTAATAACTTAACAGTCATCAAAAATGTTGAGGCGTCGTGTAGCTGCTGAATATGAAGGTCATCTTCATGCATATTTATAACAAAACGGAGCCTATAACATTACTGCCTCCTTTCGTTTTCATTGAAAATACGAAACAGCCTCTCTTTTACTGAATATCAGTTTTAATAATCAATAATGGCCATTATAAAAGTATAACATACAATAGGTTTATAAAATAGAGAAAAAAAGGCAAACAATCAGTCAACAGTGCAGAATCGGTGTCCGCGGTTACATTAATTAAGAAATTAACCTAACTTATACTTGCGCACAGCCAAAATTCTGTTTTAAAACTAAAACGCACTAGTGTAAACAGG